TTTTTATTATTAATATTTCATTTAGATTCCTCGACTAGTTTCGGCCAAAATGGCCATCATCAGGAGAAGAAATATTTCTGCTTGCTGGTAGCAGTAAACTACAGAAATGAATGTCTTTTGCTGGAGAAAATGAAATTTTGTCTGTAGTTTTCATTTGTTTTTTTTAATTTTTTTATCTTTTTAACATGAATCTTTTAACATTCCTTGTATTGGTCACACAGTCTCTTCTAAGTTGTTATTTGAGATAAGAGCTGGATGGATCTATGCTGCTCTGAATTCCCCTGGCCAGTTTGACAGTTTTATTGGTTCCCGGAGAGGGGGTGTGTCTCTGTTAAGTGTGTGTATGTGTGTGTGTTATTTGGTTCTTAGGGAGTGAGTGAGTATGATATGTGTAAGCGTGTATATTGCTGTGGGTGTGTGTTATCATTTGGCTCATTAGGGAGTGAGTGAGTGGGTATGATGTGTGTGTATATGTTCGTATGGGTGTGTGTATAAGTGTGAGGCCTCAACACCTCCGTAAGCATGTCTGTCTTGTGTGGGTGAGAAATGTGGGTAGGTTGTGATTTGTAGGGTTATATATTAATACTATCAATATTGTTAAATTTATGGTTTAGCCCAGCTGGATAGTGTATTTTTAAACGTTGTATTCACTTATTTTCATGGAACTCTAAAATCTTTCTAATGTTATCTGCTCTGAACTTTTCTATTCACTCAATTATAGTGAATTTGGCATGGGTTTTGAAATCGTGTTTTTTCTCGGCAGAAACGTTGTTCTACATGTAATAATTTTTCATGGGGAGTCGACTTAATTCGATTGCGATAATTATTAATTCTGTAGTGAAAGGGCCATTCAGATTTTCCTACATATTGTTTCTGACATAGTGTGCACTGTAGGAGGTAAATTATGTTATGACTTCTACATTTAGAATCGTGGTAGATTTTGAAAGTAGATTTAGTGACTGAGCTAGTGAATAAATTCGTGTGTTTAATGTGGTCGCAGCATTGTTACATGGTTGGGAAAATCCTGTTGTTTTTGTTGTTAGTTTATTACGGATTACCTTGTCCCCTGAAATGTGGTTACTACCTATGATTTCTTTTAGGTTCTTAGGTCTACGATATGCAAGAAGGCCGGGTTCCTTAAACGATTTTTTTAGGTCTGGTTTGAGATGTAGTATTTCCCAGCGGCGTTTGATTATTTGGGATAGTGGAGGCAGAGTGTGGTTGAAAGTGGTTACTAGAAGAATACGGCTAGATTTATGTTTAATATATATATATATATATATATATATATATATATATATATATATATATATATATATATATTGAATTAACGCCAGCGAGTAGGAAGAATTTGTTAGTCCATCTGATAGACCAATTCTCTAGTGATGATCCGATCTTACTGAGTACTTCATTAGTATTGTCGAACTAAGCTATGCTTTTTTACACCCAAAATTTCGGATAACCTTCTGGAATTAATAATTAGTATGTTTTCGACTTTCTCTAGTTTAATTAACTCCTACTAAGCGAAGATGCTTCAGCTTCTTGACTTATTAGACATGGCATACTATTTTCCAAGACAGGGATACCGATGCCAGAGGAACATATCTAACCTTAAAGTAATTCTCTTTAAATTCTTCGATCGCTCGGCACCTTATTCGGTCTTACCTTCAAACACACACACATTATTATTTGTAGTAATATTATTATTTTCAGTTATTTTATTTATTTATTGTTAATTTTCATTAGATAAACAGTGTCACCAAAAATGACGATCATACTCCCGCTACTTCTGATTATGTTCTAAATGCATGGAATTTAAGCCAATTATTTATACGCTGTTAATAGAAGACTAAATTAGATCGTAAAACTTCACAAGCGCGTCTGTTTATTTTGCTATGAAATAAATAAGCGGATGACTATAATGAGTTTTATATAAGAGATTATTTTTATTTTCGCAGACAGGACTCGAATAAAGATTATCATTAACTCTGAAAGGAGTATGTTGATTTTCTAAGCATAATTTCCATGTCGCACAAAATATAGGAGCACACAGTAAGGATCGATCTCGCTACTTCGTCGTAATTTTTATAAAAAGACAAGACGAAATGATTTTCTGAACGTAACTTAAATGTCGCACAAGACCGAAATTATAAGCTACCCAGTGAGGATCGAACTCACTACTCAGTCATAATTGTCCTAGCGCTAACAATTACACTACGGTGATTTTCTAAGCATATAGATGTGGCTCAAGGATGAAATTATGCGGAACCCGGTGAGGATCGAACTCACTACGTAGTCGTAATTGTTCTAGCGTGTTAACCATTATACCACGTCGGGGTACGCAAAATTTAGACGTGGCACAAAGCTGAAATTATGAGGAGCTGGTGAGGATCGAACTCACTCGTAATTGCTTTAGCGAGAGCTCCGTGTTAATCATTAAATCACGTCGCTCTGTGCTAATGACTTTCTAAGAATAAATTAGATGTGGCACAAAGTTGAAATTATGAGTACCCAGTGAGGCTCGAACTCACTACTCAGTCGTAATTGTTCTAATGAGATAAGCGTGTTAACCATTACACCACGTCGCGGATCGCGCAAATGATTTTCAAAGCATAAATTGGATGTGGCACAAAGCGGAAATTATGCGGAACCCGGTGAGGATCGAACTCACTACTCAGTCTTAATTGTTCTAGCGAGACAAGCGTGTTAACCATTATACCACGTTGGGGTAGGCAAATGATTTTCTAAGCCTAGATGTGGCACAAAGCCGACAGTATTGGGTATTTAGTGGGGATTGAACTTACTATTCAGTCGTAATTGTTCAAATCGCGGAAAAGGGGGTGTGAATTCTAAAATCTTCGTCCAAATGCTCTTAAATGTATAAGCTTTCAGGTTCGCTGAGATAGCTATTTGCGTGTAACATAACGCACTAATAGCCTAGGAAAAGTCAACGGTAAAGCGATCGTGTTTATTCACATCCCCTTATGGGCAAACGGTTAGGTTTTATGTAGAACAATAAACGGGGACAGCTGGCGTGTGTTCGTTTCTTAACGTGTGTCCCACTATTCTAACCTTGTGCCAAGTGTCTAGAAGAAGAGGACAACTTTGAATTCAAAGCCGGCTCCAAGGCAACTGGAAACTACTCCGCTATCTTTCCCGAGGCACAATCGCAATTCACTCTTCTCCTCTAATAGCTTCATGTCTCGCACCTCTCACCTGTGGAACTCCCTTCCCTTCTCCTGTTTCCCTGTGAGCTATAATCTCCAGCTATTCAAGTGTAATGTCAATCGACATCTCCAGTTGCCTTGATCTATCCACTACCCTCATCCTTTCTTCTATCACTCCTATCTGATCTTGCTCTAAATTTTCTGTAACCCCTTGCGTCCTAGTGGCTTCCCGCCTTGCTTGGGGTGAAATGCTTAAAAAAAAAATAATAAAGAAAAGAAATTTGTGGCAACCTATGATCGCTTACGTTCTAAAGAGATGGCATTTTAAAATAATGTTAATCCTGTACAAGACCCGATAGTTATTCGAGGAAGAGGGTTACAGATTAAGAGCCACAAATTAAGAGGAACAGTTTATTTGGTCATGTAGGGAAGATAACGGTTAACCCTAGACTTGAACAGTTTAAGATTGTAGTGATCTTGTGAAGCATAAACAAAACAGCGGCTCCTAGGAAGAAACTGTTCGAGTAGAACTTACATCTCAACTATGATATACAATGCTACAATGTGCGGGACGTGGCGGTTCTTAGACGTGAAGTTTAGAACTAGTGGAACTAAAGAATGTAGTTCGTTTGAACATTTCCTATGGAAAGGGCAGTGAGAGGCTTGCGACGTTTCGTCTGTGAGGAAAGGGGTTGTAGAGTGGAAAATAATTCATCTCCCACAAGGACACAGAGATGCTTTTGGACTCTATCGAAAATGAAAAGTGAAGACCGGGCGGCTCCTGTCCATATATGGCAGCAGTACACTATTTTCGGCTTGATCTGGCTGTGGTAAAGGTGGAGGATAGCACGAGGACTCAGGTACCCACTGAAGACGTACAGAGAACCGACCATTTTCCCTGCATTCCTCTTGAGGTTTGGATTGAGTTTAAGTCCCTTTAGACGCGCAAAGCACGGGACCTCCCTGAGAGGGAAATCTGTTTATCGCGATTAATGAAAATTTCGGGTCTAATCTATGAGGGAAGGTCATTAGTTTGGTTGTCGAGGCATTAAATATAACCAGCCAGTTTTCTCCCCACTGTGCTGTTAGAGCTCGGTCAGAGCAGAGATCAGCTGCATGTCTCTGTTTATCTAGATTTTTGGAGATGTACCCATATGCCGTTGTATGATCAGCATAGATATTCAGAAATGATCTGTGTACTATTTCTAGGTTGATCTACTCTTCGGTAGATCAACCTAGAAATAAACTTGGACAGAGAAGCGAACTTTTGTAGACGCCTACGTTGATCACTTGGGACTCGGAGGATTGGCCGTTAACAACTACCTTCACTTACTAGTTAGCCACATACGTTACTGAACCTTTGCTAGAATCGTCTTCTAGCAGTATTTAGCTTACAAAGTCCGGTGGCCACTCGAAGTTGGGGGTTACGTTAGGAAACAATTTGTGCAGATAGGATGGGAAGATAATGGTTAACCTATTCAACCGTGAAACAGGACAAAACGGTTAGTTATAGAGTTGAAAAATCAGCTACATCCAATAGGTTGACATTTTTGAATAAACAGATTGATTGATTGATTCGTTTTCTACGGCTTATCAACCCTTTGCCGGTTATTAAAAGCCAAAAATTATTTTTAGACAGTAAGAATTGGGGGGAGGCATAATGATACGATTCTTACTAATTAACCCATAGTTGGGAGGAGAAAAGGTGGTTTTATGCCTTTCCCAAGTATATTTGCTCGTAAATGAATATAACGAACCCGAATGGAACTGGAACTCGGCTCTCCGATTTACGATTCCGAGCCATTATCCATTAGACCACCCACACATCCAAGTTTACAGTACCTGGTATTTCCAAGTGGTCACCCATCTAGGTACTGACCAGGCTCGACATTGCTTAACATCGGCGATCTTACAGCGAACGGTATTTCAACGTGATGTGCCCCTAAGCCTGAATAAATAAAAATATAAGCTTTAAATAAATAAGAAATTGTAAGAATTAAACCAAAGATGAAACAGGATGCAAAAATGAATTCTTCAGTGAAAACGAGGCCAAAGAAAAACTGGAACTAAAGGCACTAACGAAAAACGAAAAAGGAAAGCGAGAGAGAGAGAGAAAGAGAGAGAACGAAAAGAAAGAAATACAAAGAATAAATCATTGCATTAAAAGAGAAACAAGGTTTTTTTAATCCAAATTTAGAATGTAATTAAAAAAAACTTTAGTCTTTCCTCTTAATAATAACATAAACATTTAGACGATAAAATCTTGTTTTTGTCAAGTTTGGCGTCTTTTTCATCATGCTATGCTCTTTTTTTTTAGCGATCTCGAGGAGGTACCTACATTAATATTATCCCGCTAAACTCGTTCGTTAACCAGCACTCTAGCTATCCCATCATTTTTTTCATCTTCATAAAATAAGTAATATAAGATTTTGAAATAAAACTGCTAAATTCCAAGGAGAAGTACAAACGTACTTGAAAAACAAAAAGTCGACATTTTACAAAAATCAACCATTATTATGCATCATCTTTTCTCGTCCGTTTATCTGTTGTCTGATGACAGTTTCGCTTTGTTCCAATATTTTAAATAAATTTGAATATCACTGCTGCTAATCGAACCTTAGGACTTCAAAATGAATGCGAATTAGAGAAAGAAGGGTTGGAATTGTTTTTTTATTTAGTAATATTGCAGTCGTATCACAATCTTGGTACATATCTTCTCTGGAATTGGAAGAATGCACATGGTATTCTCGTTAATGTAGACGTAAGCCAGTTTATTTATTTCTTATATTTGATGACACTAAAGATTTGCAGTTCACGGCGAAAGCACGGTCAGTACCCAGATTGGGTGACCGTTTTTACTTACGCATTCATCGTTGCATCCGATTTCGTCTTAAGTTTAATTCTTACAATTATTTATTTATTTAAAGATTATATTTATATCAACACCCATTTTCTTTTAAAGACATCATTTCAAGAAAAAAAAAAAATACTTTGCAGCATCGATTTTTCCTTTTTTTTTTTTTCTTATTCTTTCTTCCTTTTTCGTAATTCTCTCTTATTTTTTTTTCTTCTTATTTTCTATTTTGGTTTCCCTTGGTGAACATTTCCCTCGTATTTCAAAATTCACTCGAACAACAATTTTTTTTACTTCAGTTTTCGTCATCCTTGGCGTTTATTTATTTCTTTTTTCACCTCTCTCGCACTCTGTCTCTGTCTCTGTCTCTGTCTCTCTCTCTCTCTCTATATATATATATATATATATATATATATATAAGAAAGAGGTTGTAGTGGTTCCAACGAGAGAAAAGTATGTATATTAAAAAGAAGAGAAGAGAGGTGCCGCAAACGTTTTTGGTTGTAATGTGGATTTATATATATGTGTGTGTGTGTGCGCGCCCATAAAGTTCGTGTGCACTTTAAAACAATTATAACTTTATTTGTATTTGCGATAGAAATAATTTGTAAAAAGGATTAGAAAGAAGTAAATCTATATTTTGTAAGGTTTTATTGAAATTTTATTCAAGTTTCCACATCTCCTCCATCATTAGCAATACAAAAGGGTAATACGATTTTGCAGTTCACGGAAAACATTTGCCAACTGATTTACAGTAATGCCTGAAATCACGTTAGTTATTTTAGCTATACTTAAAACTAGGTACATTAAACTTTATAACATTTTTACAGATCATTTCTATCGCAAACAGAAATTAAGTTATGAATTTTTTAAAGTGCACACGAACTTTATGGACACCCTGTATTTGATGACAATGTAGATTTGGAGCTCACGGCGAAATCACGTTGAAAGACTGGTTCTCTTAAGATCACCGAAGTTAAGCAACATCGAACACGGTCAGTACCCAGGTGGGTGCCCGTTTTCACTTACGCATTCATTTTTGCATCCCGTTTCGTCTTAAGTTTAATTCTTACAATTTCTTATTTATTTAAAGATTATATTTCTATTTATGCAGTCTTGAATCACCGGTTCCCATACGATCACCGAAGTTAAGCAACAGTTTATCTGGTTTGTATGTAGATGGGTGACCACATTGGAAAAGAAGTTGTCTTTAAATTTGGATGTATCGATGTTGTAATGGATAACGCCTCGGAATTACAAATCGGAGAGCCGAGTTCGAATTCCAGTCGGCTTCTTTATATTCACTTACGCGCAAATACCCTTGAGAGAGGTATGAATCCCCAACCCCGGTTATGGGTCAATTAGTGCGATTTGTATCTGTGAATCATTATTATCTCCAAAAAATTATTTCAATCTAAATATATTTTCTGGCTTTAAATAACCTGAAAAACGGTTGATAAGCCGTAAAATATAAAACCAACCAACACAGAACATTTCAGATTAACTGTCAAATAAAATTGCTCGATAAGTGCCGAAACAGATTCCAATATTGTTACTATTATTTATAATATTATTTATTATATAATAATATAATCTCAAGTATGTATGCGTTTTTGGCACCTATGTTATTCTCCTTATATCTGGCTGAAAGGTTTCACGAATTTCCTCAGACAATCCAGGCGTTGACATCAGATATCTATATGATGGAGGACTTTCCAACCTTAATAGACTTAGATTTAAATAATAGACTTTCCACCTTAATAGAGTTAGATTTTAAAAAAAGTAACACACACGCAACAAATCTCAGAACTTTAATACCCTGCTGACAACGCTTCCCTTTGTCATTCAAAGTTCAACAGTCTGCCAATAACATTGCTAAGGTTTACCATTGTTTTCGCTTTACAGTAAATATCAAGTAAACCAAGATCCTTGCACAACCAGTCCCATATATCATCTTATCATATTTTGATATTACCATCTGTGATACAACTCTAGAACAAGTAGAACATTTTCCATATCTAAGCAGCCTTTTTTTATCAAACAAGTGCAGCCCAGAAAAGGATGTAGAATCCAGAATTGGAACTGCACGCAAGGAATTTGGAAAGCAAATCAAACGTGTCTTCAACAACAAAGATCTGAACTTAACAAAAATTATGATCTATAATGCTGTTTTCATTTCAATTTTGCTATATGACTGCGAAACCTGGTGTCTATAGCGTCGCGATATACAAAAATAAGAATGCTTTCACCAGCAAAAGCTTCGTTCAATCTCGTGTATCAAATGGAACTATTCTCTGACCAACACCAAAGTCCGGGTGAGAGCCAAAAGTGAAAGCAAAGAATTCCTTATCAGTAAACACTGTCCCCTATAGTCAGAAAGTGTAGCAAGAATCGAGGAGTAAAGGTTTCCACCTCAAGTTTTATTCAGTGAGCTCACTTCAGGGAAAAGACCATTTGGTTATCCTCTTCAAAGATACAAAGACCAACTCAAAACAACCCTGAAAGCCTCTGGAATTGAGCCTAAATTGTTTGAAGCACATGCACAAGAAGACCGTACCGACTGGAAGCAAACACTTCGAAGCCACCAGAAGAAAAAAGGAAGTAGTCAAATGGCAAAACAGAAAGACACGACAAAATCGACCTCATTCATCACCAACATTAATATACTGTCAATGTCTTCGGCTCTTTCATTCAACTTGGATACAAGATAAAGCCAATGGACGAATCTATCTATCTATCTATCTATCTATCTATCTATCTATCTATCTATATATATATATATATATATATATATATATATATATATATATGTGTGTGTGTGTGTGTGTGTGTGTGTGTATGTGTGTGTGTCATATGCATGTATATTCATATTATATATATATATATATATATATATATATATATATATATATATATATATATAATAATTTTATCATATAGACAAAACAGTTTGCTCACTACAAGGATGCAACTTTATTCGGTGCATTTAATTGCACCTCGACTGGTGAGAACCAAAATTTGCATTGAACCAGTCGAGGTACAGTTAAAATGCACCGAAACGAAGTTGCATCTTTGTAGTGAGTAAAATGATTTTGCCTATATGATAAAACTATAATAAATAATTATCGCTATACTATCGGTATACAGCCCTCTTTTGGATTAATGCTGTGAATGTTAAAATTTATATATTACTTTCGATCTCATTGCATCTGATATATATATATATATATATATATATATATATATATATATATATATATGTGTGTCTGTGTGTGTGTGTGTGTGTGTGATGTGAATGACATAATTAAACTCTTGAAAAATATCTTTCAATTGAACACTTCTACATACAGTCGCCGCCTGCGCTAAAACGCAAGGCTCTTCAGTAAAATGAATACGAGCTCTCTGACTGACTGTCGTTTGTTTACATTCGTAGAAACAATACCCTAAAATTAGCAGGTTCTCTCGGCCGAATGCTAATGGCTTAGGAATAGGAACTCCGACTGACACCAAATCAGTCGGGTTTCGGTCCTGGCTTTCGGCTGTCTAGTCGCACTGAGGATACAGCGAAACAGTGCTGTCTGCGATTGACACACACACATGTATATATATACAGAGAGATTGTTTGCTTGGACTTGCTGTGATGCGATTCTAGCAGCTTGGTTGGTATAATTTTATATATATATATATTTTTTTTTTTCTTTTCCTTCCCTGTCCATTCATTCATGTCACCCATGACAGACTTTTTCTTTTCCTCATAATCTAAATTCCCCGTTAACAGTTCTGACGAGAGGGGACGAAACCGGTCGACTGTTGTGTTTTATTTTAAACTTATCATGGCCTACAATACTACATTTCTAGTTTTTAATGCCTTAATACGCTTTGTACCGTTTCAAACCTATTTAAATATTTTAAGAAAAGGTACTCCCCTGAGTTAATTAGAAAATTGAATAAATTGTTACAGATTAGGTCTAAAATTGAAACATTGAGGGGGTAAGACTAATTTTTACATTCTTGTCTTCAGCACCAGGTTTGCCCGTCTTTTATTTCCTTTCGGATTAGGAGGGCTAAGCTGGT